CGGGGGCAGCCCCGGCGGGGCGCGGGGCGGCGGGCGGCCGCGGGGCGGCGGCGGCGGTGCCGGGCTGCGGGCGCAGGTGAGCGGAGTGCAGAAGCAGCGGCGGCTGGCGGCCAACGCGCGGGAGCGGCGGCGGATGCACGGGCTGAACCACGCCTTCGACCAGCTGCGCAATGTCATCCCCTCCTTCAACAACGACAAGAAGCTCTCCAAGTACGAGACGCTGCAGATGGCGCAGATCTACATCAGCGCCCTGGCCGAGCTGCTGCACGGTCCCGCCGCCCCTCCCGACGGCCCCGGCAAGGCCGAGCACCGCGGGGCCCCCTTCGAGCCGTCTTGCGCCGCCACCGGGGCCGGAGCGCCGCCGGGGCCGCCGGCGCCGCCGCCGGGGCCGCCCAGAGCGTCGCCACCCGGGCACGGCAGGACTCGCTTCCCCCCGCCGCCGGCCGCGGGGGGCTACTCGGTGCAGCTCGACCCGCTGCACTTCTCCTCCTTTGCGGAGGGCGCCCTGATGGGACAGAGAGCCCCTTCCCCCGCCCTCCTCATGCCGCAGCCCGGGCAGCCGCCGCAGGAGAGGAGCAAAACTTCGCCCCGGTCCCACAGGAGCGACGGGGAGTTCTCGCCCCGCTCCCACTACAGCGACTCGGACGAGGCCAGCTAAGGCGGGGGGGGGGGTCGTCCCCGGCAACCCCCTGGCCGCCCCGGGGCCGCGGCCGCCCCTAGAAGCACAGACTCCGCCTTGGGGTGACCAGCCGGCCGCGGTGCTGCCTCGGACGGCATCAGCTCCCCTTGGTCGCTTTGAAATTCACCCCCTCGTCTCCCACCCCCGGTAGCCCCTGGGTCTGTCCAGCAGAGATGGCTGTTAGAGAGTGACTGTAACCGCCCTGTCTGTCAGGGTCGGTTGGTTGTTTCCATTTTTAGTTACCACTTTAGAAGTTTCTTTTGCCTAGAAGTCGTTGCCGTTCCCTTCTGCCAACACGCCACCTCGCAGCGCGGAGCCTGGCTTGCCCTGCCGGCGAGCAGGTGATGCGCAAGGAGAAAGCCTGGCCCCGCTGCCGGGGGTGCCGGGGTGCCGCCGGCGCCATCCCCACCCGGCCGTGAACCCGCCCTGACAGCCCCGTTTTCCAGGACACCGATCCTGCCCTGGGTCGTATTGCTGTGGAAACACAGACACACACAAAAAGTCAATAACGCACCGTCTTGACCTGTAAATAGCGGAGAAAAATTGGATTTTCCTTAGAGCACCATTTCGGCGTCTTTTGGGGGGAAACTTGGCGCAAGCACTTTATCAGCGGCTGGAGATGCAGTCTCAAGAGGAAAGCTACTAACCGCCAATTGGAGACCGATATTTAATTAAGCCACTTAATCCGAACTCTCTTAAAAACGAAAACAGCTTTGTCGTGTCAAACTTTTATGTCCGTTTTATTTTCCTTTTGTGATAATAGGAAACGTATTTATTATGCAGTGTTTGCTATTATTTCTGCTTTTTTAAAATTCTTTTCTACGACGAGACTCGTTTATTTTAATTTTAGCAAAGCCAGCTGCCATTGTTTTATGTATTTTAATTTTAAATTTTTTTTTTGAGATCAAATAAACCTGGGGGAAAAAACCCAAAACAAAACAAAACAAAAACAACAACAAAAAAAACCAAAACAAAACCAGCCTTAAAGCGTGGTCGGGTTCAGCTTCTCCCCTCGCACTCCCCGAGCCGGGGTGCTGTCAAACCCCGCGGCGGGACTGAGAGGCACAGAGCCGCGGAGCGAAGCTCCAGGGAGCCGGCGGGGCGCCCAGGCTGCCTGCAGAGGGACTGGGCGGACCCCGGGGCCGGGGCGGGCTGTGCCACGCGTGGAGCAGCGCTGCCTCCGCTGCCTGCGCTGCCGGGACCGTGACCCAGTCTCCGTCCCGCCGTTCCCAGCGGAACCGGGATAATTACAACAAGTGCAGGGTGAGGGGCTTGGCGCTGGTCTGTAGCCGCCTGTCCCCGCACCGCCGCTCGAGTCACATCATTCCTTTCTTACACCCGCCCCCCCCCGGTCGGGGGCACGAGCGGATCCCCCCCAATGGAGCCTCATGATAAGACGGGTGGAAAGGGTTAGGAGCGGGCGGGGAAGCCGGCAGGGTTTGGAGGACACGCGAGCAGCGCAGTGGGTCGCCGGGGGATCAGGATATGGCCACCGGGCTCGGGTTAAACCCGAGGGGGGGGGGGCTGGACAGGGGAATGATGCTTTGCCCAGCCTGCCCGTGACACCAGACCCGGGGCTAAACCGAAGCCGTGTCGCTGCCGGGGTCCCGCTGAGTTCAGCAGGTGACACCTGGGAAGGGGGTGTCTAAGGGGTGATCAGTTAACCAGGCGCGGCCGGGTGAGCGTCCCCTGCGGGAGCGAAGCCCGGGAGGGTGTCGCTTTCCCCTGCAGAAACAGGCACCTGCCCCTCCGGTAACCCCGGGCTGCCGCACTGCCCTGCCCGCTGTCAACACCCGCGGCCGCTGCCCGTACCTGCCGAAGCGGCGTACGGTCTCGCAGGACGGAAAGTTCATTGGGAGGGCTATTTCCCTTCATAAAAAACGACTGCTTTATCGGGGAGGGTCACTGTTTCTTACGGGCATTGATTTCTGGGCTGTGGAAGCCGGTCTCGCATCTTCGGGGGCACGCGTGGGGTCCTAGCACAGGAGTGATGCAGCGGAGCAAAATATTGCAAATTTTGGGAGTGTTGTTTTGTTTATTTGGTTTGGTCCGGGTATGTATACAGCACGGGTAAAGCGGCGGCCGCCGCCGTGAGTGACCTCGGGGCAGCACCCCGCGGAGGGGTCCCGGGGATGGCCGCCAGGGGTTGAAAGGGTGCGAACACCCTCCCTCGGCCAAGCCGTCCCGGGCGCTGCCTCTGCGACTGCGAACACGCGAGGTGGTGGAAAAGAGCGCAGCAAAATCGTCCCCGCTCTCTCTGTCGGGTCCCTTCCCCCGACAGATGAGCGCACCGCATGGCGCGGTTGGTGCTCGCAGCCGCAGCGCAGCACTCGCCGTCTGAGGGGCTTTTTCTTCTTCTTTTTTTTTTTTTTTTTAACACTTCTTTGAAAGGGTTACCCAGCCGCATTCCCATTTTAAGGTTCAGCTATAGAGTTTGCATAACAACCGCTTGGCAGCCCCCCTCTCTTACACTCCGTTAACAAGCTGTAACGTATAGCTGCAGGTTGCTATAATCTCATTAATATTTTGGAAACTTGAATATTGAGTATTTCAGACCGCTCATTCCCCATATGCCAGGCCACTCCCGCTATGCTGGCTGGTTCCTTTCTCTCCATTATTAGCAATTAGCTCCTACCTTCCAAAGT